TCTAAAACCCAGACAGGCCCGTCTCCCCCTCCTTTCCCCTCGGAAGGCCGTTCCAGTATATCTGCCCACTGACGGTCAGAAACCTTCGTCTAATTTCAAGTCTGAACTTCCCCAGGTCCTGCAGGTTGGGTGTTGTCTCTCTGTGCTGTATCATGATGTGGCTAGGTTGTAATCATGTATATGCAGCATTTTTGTCCTTTTGTACCATTCACCTGTGTTTAATGTGACCCTCAATCCTGGGGATAGGGCATAATTGCCCCTTTTATGCCCTTAGGAGGTGATCGGAACAGCCTAATACAGTGCTGTCCACTAAAAGGCAAGAATGCTAGCTTCTTCTTTCTAGCCTTTAGTTAGTTGCACCTCATCTAAAATGGGAAGTGGGTTAAGTTGGAGACCAAATAGTTCAGAAACCATCATCTGAAACATCTGAGCAGATGGATTAATTGATTCTGCTCTATGCTTCAGCACATACCAAAACTGCACACTTGTGATGCTGTTACCCGTATGATCCCACAAGACAAGTAGGAATTATATTGCAGCTTCCTCTAAATTTGTAGTGGGTTTACAGAACCCAGCTTTCATCAAGCCTTAACTGGACAATAGAGCTGCTTCTCCTCTTGTCCAGATCTCTGCACTGCCCTGTGAGAACACTTCCCTGAAGGGCTCTGGACAAGTCAAGGATAGAAGTGTAAATTCCTAGAAGTTGCATTAATTCTACCTCTTCGGGCGATCCCTGCAAATGAACATTCCAAAGACATTTTTGAGCACTATTTTGCTGCCAACAAAAGACAGAGAGTCTGCTCCTCTCTGAGCAGCAGTTACTGCACATTTTACCAGGTCCAGTATTTCGAGTGATACTTTTATCCTAGTAAAGTTAGGAGCACAATGCATTTTCTTTTGATTTTTGACTCAAAGGTACATGAAGGCAGGGCCTTGGCAGGAATCATTCCATGGGCCACCTTTCTGGGCTGAAGTTGTTGATTGTTTTGTTTAATGCTTTCTGACGCACACAGCCTCTCTTCCCCGCCCACACTGAGGTGTGTACTGTGAAAGAGATACAGCTCAGCCTTTTGGGGGCTTGGGACTGAAATAATCAAGGATTGCTTAAATACATGCCAAAGAAACGAAGGGCTTTTGCTTTTTAGCCCTAAATAACCCCAAGTGCCTTTTAATCTTTGGCAGCCATTGCAAGGCAGGTATGTTCTTTGCATCTGGTGTGTTTGAACGATGTCCCTTTCTGCCTCTTTTATACTTCTGGTAATGCTGAGATCTCGTTAAGGTGGTATTATATCTCGTAAGCAGTAACCATTCACACAGCAGCATTTTCCTACAGTAATAACAGGAAAATATGTGCTTATTTTTACATTTTAAAAAAAGTTTATTATAAAAATAATTGCTACAAAATGTATAAGCATTTTTTATCCCCAAAATAAAGAGTATACGTCCAGTGTCTATGCACCGGTGTTTTCACTCGTTGCCATAGCTGCGAGCTGCCACTCTGCCTGAACTTATACATGGTCTCGCTTGGCCAATTCTGCATGGTGTCCCCTGCACCTCCATCTCGAGCCAGGGTACAAAGAGCCCACACATTATTCAGTGTTCACCCCTCTCCTGATGAAACCCTTATCCCCCTCCTAAGGGGGAGGAAATCTCCAAGGTTCCCGTCAGACTTATCCCAGATTGGTGTTAGGAAGGGCACCACCACCACTGCACAACAGACCCTGGGGCCAGTACCCAAACCCCACAGATCCCCAGCCAGGGATTGGCAGGAAACTAGGCCCATCCATTCCCAACCACCCTGGTGTCAGCTGCATTCGGGATCCCCCTTAAAAAAGGGCTTCTGTCCTGGATGGGGTGTCCTGTGACACTTCTCAGGGGCACTCAGGGTTGTGAGGCACCTCACCACCACCTGCCCTTGGCATGAGGGCATCTTGTCTGTGCCTACTGTGGATCAGCTCCCTGAAAAAGCCAGCCTCTGACAGCACAAGCACTGCCTGCCAGGCCTCTGCAGGCTTCGCTCTCTGTACAGGTTAACAATCGGTACACGCAGGCCCCAAGCATCCCTGTGCAGTGCCTAGCCCCGGACTCACTGAACACTCACAGAGCTCTGATTCTCTCCGAACAAACACACACCAGCTTACTAGATTCAACTCCGGATACCCACACTGCCTCTTTTTTTATATATATATCTATATAGTGAAAACAAGAATCAGTTTATCATCAACTGAGAGTCAAGTGATAGTGGGTAAGAATATTGGAAACAAATGGTTACATATAAAACAAGATTATAATATGCTTTCTAGAGTCTAAACTTAACTCTCAAAACATTCCTGTCTCTGGCAGGACCCCACCTCCTGTTCCCAGCATTTTCAACCAGGATGGCCGAGATCTCCCTTTCATAAGATTAAGCTCACTGGCAGCCTGTCTTTGCAGAGAGAAGGATGCCAGGGTGTGACTTGATTTACCCAGATATACCAGACCTTTGAGCTTCACCTGCAAAAAGGGTACCTCCCTCTGTTGTTTACCTCTTCCTGCCAGCTTCCATTAGCATATAACTTAGTATGCTAATAGACTTCTTGTAAGACACAATAGTGCACAGGGGAGGTAAGCCTCTCCCACCTTCTGTCTGGAGAAGTTTGTCACTGGGCACACTACCTTTGAGTGACCTGCCTTTAATTACAAGGCCTCGAGACCATAGTTTTCAGTATATATCATAAATCCCATTTCCCAGCCATCTCGCAATGATTACGATGATCAGTGTGACGCAGACTTTCATTAGAGACCTTACATGGTATTCTTTTGGGAGACCCAGAGGGTCTGTGTACCCCATGCTCTCTGCCAATTGTCATCCAGAGGTCCTTGGGTCACACCTTCGGATGTTGTAATACCTTTTACCCAGGTAGCTGTAGTAGTGTTCTTATTTGCATTACTATAGTGCATAGGAGCCCTAGTTACAGACCAGGAGCCCATTGTGCTAGGCGCTGTACAAACACAGATGAAAAAGACTGTGGGGATGGTGAGGAGATGATGTGCATCCAACAGCCAGCCCAGTGCAATCTTCACAAGGGAAAGTGTAGTGTAGAAGGGATTGCATGCATGGATGTAGGAGGTACATCTGGTCCCATAATGCTTTGCACTTTAGACAGCTCCTTCCAGTCGAGAATATCAAAGTATCTCATCCCCAGGTGAGAGGCAAGAATGATCATTCCCACCTTACAGGTGAGGAAACTGAGGCAGTGAGTGGCGAACTAACTTGCCCTGGTTCAGAAGAAGCCTGTGGCAGAGAGGATAGTGCAGGAGAAGCTTGATCTCACCAACAACCAGTTATATGAAGAAGTTATTCCCGGGGGATGGGGGCAATCACATAACAAAAGTGACGTCGATAAGGAGCAAGCCGATGTTCCTTTGCATTCTGGTGCCTCAGTGCATTGCAAGTTGCTTTGCAGTGGTTTGGAGAACAAGAAGAAAGTGATGCAGTGCACTGTTCTGCACTTTATGCAACATAACTACTGTTTTGAGATGTTGGATTTTATGAATTTTTCAATTTTATTAACTCAATCAGTTTATAAAATAGGGGTTCTGTGAGTCCAGTGATGCCCATGCCTGTGCGGTCACCAGCAGGCCATCTGCCTCCTACAGTACCATTTTGTTCACCTCTGGGATCATGTTTTATCCTGGTGTGTCTTGTGCTCTTCAAAAAAAATTGTGTTCCTTTTCCATTCAAGAGCAAGTAAACTGAAATGAAGACCAGAAAATTGAAGGATATATTGATATTTGAAGCCTGGTTTTGCCAGCCTTACTCCTGTTGGGTAGCGCCTTATCCTGAGTAGAATCACGGATGTTGATGAGTCTACTCGTATTAATTGCTACTGTTGTATTAATTTAGATGGACTATCTGGGCCAAAGGTGCAGAAGGTGGGGGCCCGCAAGGACTCTAAAAATTAATACTGGCCACTCCAGGCTTGTATTAAACTCCCAAGGTTACAGCTTTTCTCTGACCTTGGATTGGTAGATGCTGCCACCACCCAGGGGCACAGGGGCAAAACCCCTTTGAGAACCCAGGAAGGCACACTTGGGAATTCCTTTCTGTGGGGTACTTTCAAGCTCTCTCTCTCTCTCTCTCACACACACACACACACACACACACACCACCCC